ACTTAATGTATTTCGTTTTGTTTTTCATTTTTCCATGGTCTCCTTTTTAAACCCCTCCCTTTACTGTATCTTTTTGGTCCTATCTATGAAACACTTAGCGTCGGTGGTTCAACGGTAAATTCCTCACCAGACACAGAAAGGTGATGTTCGGTTCCCCGTCGACTCACTGCTTAACACCTCCTAAAATGAGATCAGACCAGAAAAATACGGAGTAGAAGTAGTAACCCCACTCCACAGAGAAAGCAACAAACACCATTGCTAATTAATCTTTAAAGGCTAAAATCCTTCTGTTCCACTTGGGACTCAAAGAAAGATAATTAATTAATTACTTGAAGTGTTGGTTTGTAGGGATTTGGTTGACTGGTTACAGGATTTTCATCATGAGCTGACATTAGTTAGAGAACCATTGGAAATCCTGGGAGTACTGGACAGCTAGCTTAATGGTATACCAGCTCGCCTTGTAACCAGAAGGTCCTGGGTTCGAACAGTGTTGGTGGGTGCATACTGCTGAAGAGTCCCAAACTAGGACGAAACAGCTGTCCAGTACCCCAGCTGGTTTTCCAATGGTTCTCTAACTAATGTTATCTCATGATGAAAATCTTGTAATTAATTAATTATCTAATCATACCTTATTCTTGGAAACTACTTTGTATATAAAAGCAAATTTCTTTCTTGGATCACCCTTCTAGTGTTTTTCGTAATTAATCTTCCCACCTTTCATCATCACCTATAAAATAAAATTACAATTTTATGACTGTAGAAAATAAAACTGGCGAGAATAACATCTTTAATAAAAATATTATTTTCTGTCTAAAATGTTTCCCTGGAGAAATGAATACGTTCTCGTTTTATTTTTTTTGTCTTACTAAAGCAAATAAAAATTAGCCTACTTCATCAAATTTATTCAAATGAAAATCTAAAAAGATAATTCTAACACTTCTGTACAAATGATTACAGTTATCAAAAGAATAATGCAGCAGTTCGATTGTCAATGGTAGGAGAAAATTCAAGGTAAAATCTCAAACTTTAATGCATTCAAACATATATATATATATATATATGTAGATTTTGATATAGAAAGGTAAGTGGTAAAATAGGATGATGCTTCATAACGAGAAAGGTTCAGAATTACGTCAAAGAAAACGGTACATTTTCTTCTTCTTCTTTTTCTTCATCTTCCTCTTTCATTTTATTTTTGTTTCTCAAATCAAATCCAGCTAACAAAGGGAAATTTGACAATAACTACTTCTTTCTCTTCTAGAAGGAATTGTGAGCTCACTTTTTATAAAAATCTCCTTGATATATATATATATATATATATATATATACTCTTTTAAAGTGTAGCCATTGACTGTTTCCTCTCTCCTGCTGTTTGATCTGTATGAATTGCTGTCTAGTAGTCCAGCAAACAGACAAACCAACAAACAAAGCAGTGAAGAGTTGAATAATGATATGGATGTCTGTTATAGTGTGTTACTTAAGACAGGAACTGATCAATTCAACATGGAATATTTTAAAATACTTAATAATATGGAATTCAGTGAAATGAACTACCACAGTGAAAAAAGAAGGTATCTATGATACTATAAATAATAGAGAGAATTTTATATTTTTGCAAAACTTAAAGCCAGGGATTACTACAGTATAGGTTGTTGATTCAATTCTTATGAGAATGTTTAGTAAATTACAATAGAATAGAGTTTATCTTTAATTGGTGGTTGGTGACTAGCAGTGGAATCTAGGATGAAGCGCATTTCGTCCTACTTGGGACTCGTCAACTGGATGTACCTGCATTTCTCAGTGAGTGATGATGTTCCCACTAGGTTTGAGCCTCGGTGAGAATATCATCACCCACTGAGAAATGCAGGTACATCCAGTTGACGAGTCCCAAATAGGACGAAATGCGCTTTATCCTAGATTCCACTGCTAGCCACCATACACCAATTGTATACTAATTAAATGCCCAGACGTCGTCAAAGCATCGGCACAAAAAGCCGACATGTCAACCTGAGACCGAGCACTTCGGTCCAATCAATTGACGGGAAAATCTAAAATTCAATTAGTTTATATTTTTTCCTAATTACATTTAGGAATAGTTACAGAATACATGACAAATATTATCAAAAGGTACTGCAGGTAAACCCAAGAGAGTTAATCCCTAACTAAAGGTATATCAGAGGTCATAGACTAAGCTCATATATCTGCACAATGTTTTGTTTCTTTCTTCTCCTTTCTGAGTGGAATATAGGAGGGCTTCAACTTATGAAGTTTCAGTAGCGCTCTCAGTCGTTTCTTTTAAGGCGTGAGGTTGCTGATATCACACCTAACTTTCCCTATTTACCGGTTTTATTACCGCCTAAGCATGTCTTAAGAGTATTTCGGTGGGAGGTCGAATTCCGGTCCAGGTGAGGAGTGGCTGGAAAACATTCTACCACTGAATTACTAACACAATAATACCTCTAGAATTTCTTTACCAAAGGAAGAATGTAACTTTCACTCTATCAAAAACCAAAAGATAACTTTTATAAATAGACACAGGAGTAAAGTAATCCCTTTGCTTTATCTTATACATTTCTGCCAGAACATACAATCTTTTATGGGTATCATGAAACTATTGAATGTATCAATTAACTCGGAGTTTATCTGTCACTGAATAAAGATTTATCAGCCATTTCGTAATGCTGAAATGTTTTTACTGGTTTGGTTTTTTAAGTAATAATATTTGTGGAATGAACTTCACTGATAAACGAGGAGTTTTGCAATTTGAAGATACCAACCTGATAAGCAAACACATTTTCATGATATATAATTATTTTACTCAGCTAAACTAGTACTAAAATCGGAAACCAATTATATGAGTCGACAAAAGTTCAACTTAATCTGACAAACCAATAAACACATTCACATGTATATGATATGAATGATAGGGCAACGATTGTTTAGGTTCTATAAATTCAACTAGCTCTGTTCACATTGCTACCAATAGAATTCGATACGGAAGGTGGTAGGTAACGAGTGTGACAAGTGAATACCAAGTAGTGATTTCCTATCACTCCTGACTCCCATGGTCTACGCAAATAAAAATTAAAACTAGAATGGTCTGACCTTGATTCATAGATTATCAGTCTCCTTAAGGTCATCAATATCACTTGTTGAAAAATATCGATAAAAACTAAAGGTAGACATAGAAATATCTTGCTGGTCGACTTCAAACACTTGAGCGGATAACCCCAATACACAAATAGTCCATAAATTTCGGCTCCCACTGAGTAGATATCTATATTGTTACCAACCACCCATCAATTCATATACCTATATCTGATATCTCAAAATATAACTGCACATTTGAACTAGTGAGTTTATCTGACGTTCAGAATTCATTTAGACGAAATCCCTTTTGCTTAGAAAACTAATCATGTAGCAGTACAATGAATATATACCATGTTTCCGAAAACTCCAATTTCAATTACATTAACACTTTTATGTTTGTCCTAAATACAAGTCCTAAAAATTTTTATTGTTCACTGAACTGTTAAATAATGACTATCAGCAGAATCAAAGATGAGCATTTCGTCCTAATCGGGACTCATCAGACGGAGTCCCTGTACTTCAGTGAGTGATGACGTCCTCATAAACGATCGAATCCAAAGGTAATCACTCCAAACACCAGAGTTCTACTCCCTGGGCTATCGAGCCATGATACCCACATCTTACGTAACGGGTATTATTTAAAATTACTCATTTATATTTGTTGTTCAAGTTGATATGTATGAACTCAACTGATCAGCGCCACTTTGTAATATGGACTTGTTGAACGGATACGGTATAATTATGATTGCTAGCAGTGGATGTATCTAAGTCACCCTGTAACAATATAACACAAGCTACTTTTGTGAGTACTTGACATGAAATTAAGTCAACTAAGTTACATTTTAATAATGTCGTCGATTAGATATTAAATATAAAAGATAAAACCTAATAAAAGTAACCGAGAAAAATTACTTGGCTTTCTATACAAACTATAAACTCCACCTAATTTACCAGTTGTTCCTAACCCTGGAAAAGATGGAAGCTTGGGTGTGGGACTGGCAATTGCACCTCCTAAAAAACACCCCTATTGCTAAGGAAATTTAAAAACACAGAAAAAATAAAATAACATTGTAAAGACTCCTCATTTCGAGAAATGATGCCGCCGGACGAAAGCCTTCGGAAAATAAGTCAACCATTAAGTCTGATACAGAACCACTGAAAACCTGTAAGTACTGGACATCTATTCTGTCCACTGAGACGAAATCCAGTGGCCCACGAATTCTAATTTCTACCAATTTGATTGCATGGAGGATTTAATGATGAGCTGACATCAGTTAGAGAACCATTGGAAAACCTGGGAGTACTGGACAGCTGTTTCCTTCTAGTTTGGGACTCCTCAGCAGTACACATTCACCAGGGTTCAAACCCAGGACCTTCTGGTGACAAGCCTAGCGAGCTCGTGGACCATTGAGCCACTGGGACCCGATCCGATGGTTCTTGAATTCTAACTTCTGCCAATTCACGACATAGCGCGACCACTTCGCAATGTCTTCTTCGATGAGTTACTGCCTCATCTTCGACCTGCTGTACTTATTTGCTACATATACCGCAACCACAAGCCAATATGTCATCGGTGAGTATTCGTCTTCACAATCAACGTGGTGGACCCCACCGGCTACAACAACTTACTAAGACTTCGAGTCACTTCATCCTGTAGTCGTCAGTCACTAGTGAACAATGGGTTAATTTCCAAGTCAGTACCTTATCAAACTTGAAATCAATTATATTTCTATAAACCAACAGTTGAAAATACCTATTTGTATCTATAATATTCTGCAAACCAGTCAAGGTATTTAAAAATTTAACGTAAGTAAACACAAACATTTGAATTTTTAAATAAAATTTGTTTAAATTGACAATATATATTCACCTGCCTTCTTTATGTATTGTTTATTTATTCATACCTACAGGCAATGCGTCCTGCAAATGAATTAACGCGAACGCAACAAATGACATCAAGTCAAAAGAGAATCTCAAAAGGAAAAGTATCAAATAATATGCGATTAAAAACACTGGCCTATAGACCAACTTATAGAGTATCTCATAGTATCATTGAACACGGATCTACAACACAAACAACACTTAGAGCAATGGCTAACTGGTCTAGGAAAAGAATACGACCAAGATCCTAAAAAGAAGTAATAAAATGAGTTGGAAAGAGAAAAATGGATTAGATTAGATTAACTGAATCGAATAAGAAATGGTATGGTATTACAGAAATTAAAACAAGTTTGTGGATTATTATTATAATTATTTTGATAAAGTAAATAAGAAAAGGATAAGGGTAACAAATATTTCTTCTATACATTTCAATTGTCAGTTGTTGCTTTTTTTTTAATTGTTGTATATAAAACAAGAATTTGTTTAAATTTACTCGTCTTTGATATTTAAACAATTTCTGTGTATATAAATATATTTCTAAACTTATTATTAGCATTGTTATTTTTAAATTAATCAATAATTTTAAACAAAAAGATGGTATTCATTACGGGATAAGTAATAAGGAACTCCATTAATGAGAATCTACTACCCAAAAAATACGTCAAAAAAGGGAGGTTGAATTGGACACATGCTGAAAAGACCGCTGAGAGTGACTTCACACGCCAGTCTTCAAGTGGACTCCGAACCGGAAATGACGAGCTGGCTGTTGCCTCGAGTGTGATATGGAGGGAACTGTCTGAGGAGGAGATGAGAACAGACGGGCGATCGTGGATTCAGCTAAAGACGACTTAATAAAACAGGATGAAGTAGACATGTACTGTTGTTGCCGTATGTTACACCAGGAATAATGAAAATATAATAATAATTAGCTGAAGAATTAACGCGCAGTTCAAGCAGTTAGAAAATTATTTTGACCCTTATTTAAGTCACATGAGTCTTCACTATTTATTTAGGCTTTTTGGCAGGAAGTTTTGGAATCCTTTGATCGGAGACTAGTCAGTGACTAGTGTAGTGTGTCTAGTCCTTTCTTTGGCACAGACTGAATTTTACCAGTCAAGTTTGTAATGCAGCCAGTATACTAGGTGGCATGCCAACATGTTGCACTTCAAATTGTTGATATTAGGTTGTTAGAGGCAGCAATTCAAATTTCAACGTGATGGTGAGCCACCCAGAATGCTGGCCACATTGCAAACTTGACTGAAAGAATTCAGTCTGCAGTAAACAAGGGACTAGAAATATGACACTAGTTAGTGTCCAATCAAAAGTATCTAATACAGTCCTACAGCAGGTCAATCATGAGTCCGATAAGCTTAGTGGTAATGTCTCTGAGGTGCCTCCAAAGCCTCAGGATGGTCGGGGGTGGGTGTTTTGCGCTGCGGGTTGGCCACCCCTCCGTACACCTCTTGAAATGCTCCCATATGACCGGGCGTCTTACATAGCCTCTCCTGAGGAAGTCCTACTCACTGCCTTCACGTGGCGGAGGTGTTTTTCACCAAAGTGAGAGGGCATAGGGGATGCCCGGCGCTCTTCACCGGGTTGACTGTCCATTGGATGACAGTCTAGGGGAGATGGCTAAACCCTGATTCCAAACCTTCAACGACTGGCGTATGAAGCTCACCGGCAGACGTATGGACAAAGGGCTTATTGGATGCCCTGGATGACTGGCCCCATTCAAAAAGGCGAATGAACCGGACTCCGGTCACCGGCTGCCAATAGATAGTGGTCTCCCTACTCCACTCCTACTGCCTTGTAGGTCACACTTGGTTGTGTAAAGTCTAGAGCTGCACTCTCAAACAAAGGCCGAGCGATGCTGGAGACATCACTCGTACCCAATTCCCATGAAACTTCATGAACTCTTGTTCATGAAGCCGGCTCATCCTCCCGTAGGAGATAGCCGAAGTAAAGTAAGTAATGTCTCTGAGGGGGTGATGCAGGTTTGAATCTTCAAGGCTGCAGATACGTCTTACTGACGAGTACCAACTAATACGAAACCTAGTTTGAAGGCTTCCAGCCGATTGCCTCCAACCATCTAATAGTTTTAGAATCAGTTACTCAGGATCTCAGTGATCTTGAGATAATTCAAACCACTAAGAGATCTCGAAAGACATTGGTGACTAACAATCTACAAGTTTCTACATTTCATATAGGACGATATAACTTCAGGCTAGGTCACATGATACGTATTCGTTCCAGAGAAGGATACTATGCGTTTCCAAGTAACAAAAATACAAACATTCATTCAAATACTAGGTACGAATAAAACACAATTGCTCAATTAATAATAAGTATTTGGATTATGGATTTTTGTGGAGATCTGGATTAATTTCAATGTAGATTTCTTCACAAACCAATACCATTTAGAGATCACTGAAAACAATAGAAAAATGGACAGTTGCTTCGTACTATTTCGGAACTCTTTGCGGTGCACACCCATAACCCCCTTCCACCCCCAATGGGTCGAATTCGGGATCTTCAGTTAAGCGATCAAACTCGTTGACCATTAAGTTACCTGGGCTAAAATTCAATGGTCTATGAACTCTAAATTTGTCAATTCGTGATATATCACTACCCTCAACCAATGCCCCTGGATGAACATCCACTTTAGCTTGACATTTTGCAGAAACTGCACTATTTCTCACATCCCAGAGTCAATTCTACTACAACCAAGCTGCTGAAGGAAAGATTTATGTGGCTAAGCATAAACAGTGATGCTAAGAAGTGGACGCGAAAGTGTTTGTCTTATCAAAAAGTCAAGATTGATAGTCACACCTGTGCGCCGTTTGGCCGTTTCCCTAACCTTGACTCAAGATTTGACCACATACATATAGATATAGTTTGCTCACTGCCTCCCTGCACTGGTTACAGTTACATTTTCACAAGCCCCGATAAACTGACTAGCAGACGTATCCACCGAAACGGTTGCTAAAGCCCTGCTCAAAAAATGAATAGAAAACTTTGGTCTTCCATCAGTTGTCACTACAGACAGAGGTGAAAAGTTCGAAAGCCGTCTTTTTCAACAGCTCACCAAATTATTGGGAATTAAACGAATATGAACGACCTTTTATCACCCTATTTAAAATGGGATGGTTTGGACGATATCATGGACAACTTAAGAGTGCGCTTGCTGCCTCTCTGACCAAAAACGACTGTCTCACCAAACTGTCACTAGTACTACTTGGTATACGAGGGACTTTAAAGAGACATCGGATGCTGCGATTCCGAGTTAGTTTACAGAGCAAAACCAAGGTTACCAGGACAGTGTTTTACCTCAGATAACCAAATTCCAAGTAATTTGACTGATTACGTGCATCTACTAAAGCAACACATGGATGAACTAAAAAATATCACTTCCACGCCAGCATCAAAGACCATTATACACCTGACAAACTGCACTCACGTTTTCGTCAGGAAGAATGGTGTACAACAACCACTGAAACCTGCTTACGATAGTCCAATTAGAGTTCTACAGAGGAATGACTATGTTATCACAGTAGAACGATCGAATAAAGCAGAAGACATCAGCGTTGATAGAGTCAAACCAGCGTTTACTGAAGACTTCCAAGACAACGATAATGATCAACTGAATGACATGCCAACACCTTCAATCACTAAAGCTGCAACTTCAACAGAAAAACCCAAAACAACTCGATCTGGTAGGAGAGTTCATTGGCCGCCTAAACGTTACGTTCAAATCATCACGACTTAACTTATGTAAATTTCCCGTCTTATTTTCTCTATTCAAATTCAATATATAAACGCTCATTCACACATCATTGTATACATAGTTCACATTTCTATTGTTTAGACACAACGATTTTTTTGCATAGCTTCATTTAATCGTGTAATGTTTGCTACTTACATATTGTTTTCATCTTAAGTCTACAAATCCCTAGTTGATTTTCATCGTTCCATATATTTTCTTTTATAATTGTCAGTTCAATTGTCCTTAGTTCATTTACTATTAATATTAATAACTGTACGTCCATTTTATTCAAAACTGTGGACTAAACTGCATATTCTTCAGCTTAATACACTAACAGATTTCTATGCAATATCGCTACTGCTTATTACGCAAACTCATATCACTGTCGAACACTTAAATGTACTATATGATATGTCATTGTTCTGATGGTGGAATTATGTAGCACCCCTATATTAAGCCTACCTGTACGCTTATAAAACTAACTCATGTAAGCATGTATACGCTTAAAGAGACTAATTTTACTTATGTTTCAATATTTACCATTGTATTATTGAATATTGATTTTCGCTTGTTATACGTAGATATTTTACGCGGTTATGCACTTTTTCGTTCGCTTCGCGCTTTTTGAAATTTATTTTCATTAACAATACATCTTTTTCAAGTTATCACTCGTGCTTCTTAATAAAACATTGTTCATCGTTGACCGTGTACAGCGTTAGCACATATCAGAACATAAAAACGTGGATGTACAATACCATCATAATCGGAATGATCTTTAGTACGCTATACTCACTTACACACAAACACAGAACAAAAATTCATCTATTTTGAATCTGTTAGGAATTCTAAAATGCAGCATACTATTAAATTCATAATTCACTCTGGTAGACCGTAACCACAACGAGGAAACTGATTATGTTAAAGAAATATAAGAAGAATCATTGATTGAAGAAGATCTATCAAGTTCCATCTATATTCTGATACACGCAACCCATAAAATTGGATTAAGAGAAAAGTCAAAAGGGTGTGTTAAAAAAGGGCTAAACTTCAAGTGACAAATGAAGAAAACAACCATTGTTGACATAAGATTAAAAATAACTTATAGAAGTCAGTTAAATGATTCTGTATGGACTACTTGAAGGTATTGTTGATTTTCACTGTCAAATTGGTTCAATGGTAGCATACCTTTGTTTTTCAAATGACAATATCCTTAAACATCATCTTTGAAAAAACGTGAATCAAAGGCATAAAATATGATAAAAATTGTGTATTGCTGTCGAAAAAACATATCAAATTTAGTAATGAAAGTTTATTTCATACAATACAGTGATAGAGTACTTATAATTGAATGACTTTTCGACTACCATTTATTGCTCATATTCATATCAACGTATTTACGCGACTTGACAACCTGCCTTACATAGCTTAACTCCATACTGTTAATTATCCAATTACAACTTTGAATCACAATCTGTTTTCAGGACGATTTTTAAATATCTTTCAACCTACCGGTATTGTACTTTTCGGAGGAAATAAAGAAAATGTATAGCAGGTAATTAGGGTGTGCATTGGATAGAATTCACCTTAAGATCATGCACCAGCAAAAAATACTTTGAAATAGTACTTGCTGAAAAAATTTATATAATCACCAAACGAAGAATCCAAATCCATATAAGTGCACACAACAAATGTTTTTCAAGAGGATAATGACGGACATTAAAAACTCAAGTTTTCCCCTTAAAACAGCATCTATTTCGAAATCCTATGTATCGAGAATTCACAGCTAGTAAGCCGATTAAGCAGAAATAAATCTGCGAAGAACGTGACAATATGATTGTACACTTTTTGTTAGTTGTAGAAATTAGAGACATTGTACATGATTTTTGTTTAAAACGATTCTTGTTAAAATATATGTAACTTCCGTGTACTGTACAAAATACACTATACTGTTGGAGGCTTCGCCTTCTCCCTGGCCACTACTGCTTGCTTGCTCCACTCACACCGTGTTGTATACTTTGGATTTATTGTAGGAGTCTACTATCCTCATCCGAAGACAACTCTACAACCGGTCCTCAGCATCTACCAGCAGACGCATTCCAACAGTGAAGGTTCCCTTAGATTATATTGATAATTTGTAGCCGCGGTCTTTAACGTTTTAACCAGGTAACCTTTTCATTAATATGAAGCATTACTGCATTTTTTGATAGTATATATTTACCCTATCATCTCATTAACTTGGATTTTTATTTGTATATTTGTAATGGTAATGAGCTCTCCTAGTAGTCCCCTACAAATTAATTGGTGATCCCGTTTAGGACACGGATTATTTTGACATATTCATATTTTTGCCATTTTGTATATTCATTGTGATTTTGTGTGTGGTCTTATATTTGTATCCCATTTTGCACCAACATTCTCATATCTATAATATCGTCACAAATACTCGCCGCCCATACAAAGTTAGCGACAAGGCTTGACAAGTTGGAAACTAGTAGGCCTGATCGACGAGCCCAGAGACGGAGTTCACAAACAAGGTCACCATTACGACGACGATCTCTCTCCCAACAGCGTTCCCACACGTCTTCTAGGGACAGTAATATATGTTGGTATCATAGGAAGTTCGGACGTCATGCCCTAAAATGTGTCAAGCTGTGCATCTTTAGCGAAGATAATCAGGCTCAGGGAAACG